TACTCTCTGATTAATTAAAATTATTATAGATATTTATCAACATCAGAAAGTTAGACATTTAAAGTTACTGCTACATTCCACCTCTCTAACTTCGAGACTTAGCAGTGAATCACTAAGCCACCATTACACTTTAAATTTAAAAAAATCGAATAAACAACTTCCTCGTTTATGATGTAGGTTGAAAATTAATAGTCTAGATATTTTGTTACCGCCATATACCGGTCATTCAGGTTTGTATGATTTTCCTCAATGTTGAACAAAATTATGAGTGTATACTCACATGCGTCTCACTGTATTATCATAACTAACATTATCATAACTTGTTGATTATTTATTAACATATAAATGTTTGCTACAAAATTTTCGCTTTAAAATTCTTAGCACAGATCATTAAAGTTATTATTTCTTCCTTTATATCATATATTTCGTAAATAAACGTGAATATCTTTTTCTAAATAACGGTACTGTAAAATAAGGATACTGTATAAAGTTACGATTATATCACAAAACTAAAGATTTCTCTCAGAAACTACTAGATGGAATTGAAAAATTCCTTTAGTATTGTATAGCCCATTTATCGAGAAAGGCTGTACTATATCACTATTTTTAAATTATGATAATGGAATAGTGCACCTGCCTGCGTTGACGGTTTATGCTGGCGGAGCACCAGTTCAGGATGATGGCATGAGCAGGTCAGGTCAGTTATCCCATCGAGGCAAATTTACCAGGAGTAATTAGGATGGTTTATAGGGAACAACGTGGAGGTCAACCTAAAATTGTATATTGGTAGAAATGGTTTGATTAGTCCACATTACTAACAATCCTTCAATCCATTTGAATGTGAAATTATAAACTGACACTACAGTTTTATTTATTTCTATAGATAGCTAAATGTAGACATGGCGAGTATATGTAGTTATGAAAGGTAGTGTTCAGAAAAATAAAATAATAAAAACAAATGCCAATCGCTCGAGAAAGCACAGTATTCGGTATTTGAAATAAAACAATGAAATGGTGTTTTTAACAATATTTTAGTGGGAGGCAAATTTTGTTCAGAAAAATAAAATAATAAAAACAAATGCCAATCGCTCGAGAAAGCACAGTATTCTCTACTTGAATTAAACAATGAAGTGGTGTTTTTACCAATATTTTTGTGGGAGACAAATTTTGTTCAGAAAATAAAATAATAAAAACAAATGCCAATCGCTCGAGACAGTACAGTATTCTCTATTTGAATTAAACAATGAAATGGTGTTTTTAACAATATTTTTGTGGGAGACAAATTTTGTTCAGAGAAATAAAACAAATGCCGATCGCTCATGAAAGCAACGAATTCGCTATTTGAAATTTTTCATAAATGAAAATAAAACATAAAAAACGTGTTTTTGCCATTATTTTTATGGGAGTATCCAACAGATAACAAACAGTAAATTGTTTTAGCACTCTATATGATATTGGACCTAATAATAAAATTTAATATAGTGAAATGTATTCTACCATTCGTACGTGTCAAACTAGAATACTAGATAGCAAATGCAAACATGGTAATCCTGGGCGAATGTGTAATTATGCATTCGAGGCACGAGTCCATCGGTGTAATAATAACCGGCTGCCCACCATTATTTCCCCGCTGACTCCGTGCCGTATCAAAGTTGGATAAATGCTATATCTCAACCCTTATCAGGTCATATAAACCGATAGACATTTCATTTAATCTTTAGAGAAATAGGTTTATATATAAACGCTATTAGAATTGTGTTTTCCATAGTTGACTAGTTGACCCGCGCAACTTCATCTGCGTCGCATTTTTCATGTTTATTATCCATAGAGTAATGATATAGCATATGGCCCTTCCTAGATAAATAGGCTTTCCAAGAATAGAAGAATTTACAAAATCGCTTCAGTAATACCGAAGAGACCGAGACCAAGTACCTCCTAACCTAACCTAACATCCAAATTCACAAAATTTACCTGTTTATAACATTAGTATAGGTATAGAGATTTACACACACATGCACAACTTCACATCTAAAATAATTAATACTTACAAACATAGTTTTTTCTATTTTTTTGTTTCTATTTTGGTCATTTTTCAATAGTAATAAAGTGAAACTGAACTAAAATTCCAAACTCCAATTTGAAATCGAAAACAAACACCGAACTACCAGTGCTACGAGCACCTTTATTTTCATTGCTCTGAAAATTCCATGGATGTATAATATTGTCCAATATTTTACTTGTTTAGATTTTAAATTCATAGCTTAACCCTCCTCTACTGCAAGGGAATTGCAACGCAGTTACAATTCCTTTAATGTTGCGAGTGCTTATAACCGTAATCACTTACCATCAGGTGAGTCGCATGCTCATTTATCCCCTATGCTTCTAAGAAAAAAAATCTTAAATTCCTGCGGTTCCCATGGTATAATATGAATTTATTCAGACTGATATGTCTATCGGATATAACATCTGTGTATGATATCCAATTGTGAGGCGTAAATTGCAAATTTATTCCATTATGTCTCAAATTTAGTCCGTTCTAAGGTTCCTATAAAGGCATTACTTACCTACCAGGCTATTGCACAAAATTTTCTACTCCTTAGGCCGAAAGTACATTTGGCCGAAAGTACATGTCTCAAATTTAGTCCGTTCTAAGGTTCCTATAAAGGCATTACTTACCTACCAGGCTATTGCACAAAATTTTCTACTCCTTAGGCCGAAAGTACATTTGGCATAGGGTCTATTTATACCTTAGCAAACATATACAAATATACAACATATAACATAACCATTAACGTATACTATAGTCAGTTTTTTATTACCGGAGACAGTTTTGACGTTACCGATTCTGCTACATTTTTGCATTTTTTTAATAGGGTTGTGGCACTAACAGAAATTAATACTAATTACCTATTTTTATAGGTTTTTCATGAATAAGATATGCGTGTTTATTTCTTTTAAATAGCATTAATACAAAATTAATAAAATATAGGTATTAATAGACATAGTTATTGTATCAAAATATATTTTAAATTTTTCACTAAAATGAAAACTAACTGACTTTTTTATAAAACAAATGACATTTTTATAGTGCCATATATCATAAAACAACACTTATTTAAAATATTTAGTTGTTTAAAGGAAAAAAAATGTTGATTTGTAGCTTAATACTGTAAAAAATACTATTTGTACGGAAACGACAAAATGTATTCTTATGCTGTATAATACGACGACAGTAATGGAAATAAATACCATCTATAGGTGGTAATATTATTTGACAATTTGACATTTAGGTACACCTGTCAATTTAGTCTCCGGGATTAAAAAGCAGACTGTATGTGTAATTTGTATACACAGGTTATACATTTTTTTGGCATTTTTGGCAGTTGAAATAGAAGAGACTGAGGTAGCTACACAGAGGCTTTGATCTAATTGCACTAAGATTGAGCGCCTAACGGTTTCTACGACTATTGTCGCATGCCTAATCATTGTTAATGTGTTTTATATAGACAACATTTATTTTAAAAAGCAACACGCACTTTTCTTTTTCTTTTTGCGATAAGTCTGCGTTCTGAATGAGTGGTAGAATAAAGAAATGTGACTATTCAAAAGTGCTTATATTAAGTTTATTTGAATAAAAGTAATTTCTATTTCTAATTTTACAAAGACTACGTTGGAATAAGTAGATTATTGGCAGTTCTTCAGCTAGCTTACTACAAATAGCATTCTTGGCATTCCTATAGGTGCAGGACAGTAAACAGCTGCCTACGGTCATTACCAAGGCTCTTAAGTTCTGAGCACACGCGCCACTTTTTGTGTCAACAAATTAGTCGCTCGATGCTACAATTGCACGCGATTATGAAGATAATTGATCGCTAGCGATATTACAATATAATGTAATGATGATAATAATAATAATAATATATTTCATTTACATTATTAGTGTTAGTTACACTTTCTTAAATCTAATGTATCAAGTAATGAAGAAATGTTACATACATATAACAAACGGTCACGTTACTTAATATACAATTGTAATTATATTATCCTTTGTACATGATACGATTGCTGCTAAATCGCGGTCGAACATCGACACAATACATTTAATATTTTTGAATTATATAAACTCGGACGAAGGCGTTGATATTAATAATAATAATATCTCTGGACAATTCACATAGGGCTACCTAGTCTCAAGCTAAAGAAATATTAAGATATTTCCTTTTAATTACATACATAGTATAGAAATATATAGAAAACTGCTAGAAATCTGTTTGGCAGTATGTTGTATTTATTTGTATTTATGAGTATGCTTGTTTGTATCTATAGCAAGCATACTCATAAATACAAATGTTTGCACCGTTGGAGGAATCGAAATCCAATTCCTACCAATAAACATTTGTATTCAAGAGTATGATTGTTTGTATCGGTCTGGGCATTTTCCATGTATATTATGTACGTATTATTACAAGAAAAAAATGTCTAAGTAAATCTATCAGTTGTCAGTACCGTACCCATGACAAACAAAGCTTCTGCTGAGCTTCAGACTCGATGGCGGATGTCACTTGTTTAGGAAAAACACCACGGTAGAAAATAGAAAATATAATTGGAAAGGACCTACTACATTTAGAATAGTACACAAATGAAAAAGAAAATTAATACGGACCATGCAGAATACTATAGTTAAACTGATTTTAAAACGAATAATTTTATGGTAAAGGTATTTTTCTTAGGTATTTATTCCAGTCGCTCGCGAACACGGCTAGTGCAATGTAGTCGAAACGTCGAGGGAAATTATTTACCATTTATTAAAAAGTATTTACCATAAAATTGAGGACTAAACGCGAAAGTTAATACTTATTTGATAGTACTATGCAAATTAAAAACGCCGATGCAGGCAACTAAAAGTATCTAGTCTGCAAACATAGTTATTAGCTCGCTTCTGCATTATAAAACCTGATTCCCTGTGAACTCGACACAACTGCGGCGTAACAGATGGTTTTACAATAAGCAGTTGGATATCGAGATCGAAACAGAGCAGTGGTCGAGTAGTGTAGTCGACAGTGATTGTGGTCCATTGAATTAATGTGATAATAGTTCAAGGTAACTTATTAAAGTATCGATCATTTTATTATAATTAAGTTTATGCGATTTCCTCATTGTACACAACGTTAAGTTCCAAGGAACACGAGAATCAAATGATAATTATGAAAACTAGTGGTCGCCTACTGGGCGAAACGGCTATATTTAATTTAACATTCAGTAAGGTTATAGACAAATAATATTAAAAACAAACTACATTAGTCTATTCTCAATTTGACCACAGACTTTAACAATAAAAGAGAGTATTTATGCGTGTGTCAAATAGGTGGTAGAGTGTGTAATATTATATTTTTATTGATAATGTATTTTTTATGCATAAGTTAAAAAGGATATTTGCATTCTGCATTATATAAACTATAAGTGTCGAAATACCATACTCCTCCGTCCGCAATATTTTTGTAAAATGGGGTACAAAGTTGTTGCTTCACGTATTAATATGTATGATTTCGTACGTGACATTGACTTGTATGAAATGTTGTTTAATAATATACTAGTTTACATCCGAGACTTCGTTTGGATATATTGAGTGACGCAGATACAAAGTAGCTTATATTATTCTACGTCCTAAACACTACATGTATAATTCTCGTAGCTTTGAGTTGAGCAGTTAAGGTAATAAAATTTAGCAAAGGAAACACTCCATCTTCATAATATTATAAACGTGAAAGTTTATTACTATGGATGGATGATTTACTCTTTCACGCAAAAACTACTGAACGAATTTTGATAAAACTTTACAGTAATATAGCTTATACATCAGAATAACATATAGGCTATAAGTTTCATGCGGGTTGGTTTATAATAAATATTCAGATTTCGGTTTATTTTCATCAGGAAAATTTGTTTACTTTCACAAATACAATCGTGGGATATCTTCAGTGTAGGTTTCAATATGAAAATGTGTGTGTGAATTTGTTTGGAGCGTAGTTTTGCGGCTTCACTTTTATTACTGTAAGTGTTCCAGCTATACCTTTTATATTGGTTTGTTACAAAGATGAAATTCGTTTCAAGAAAAGAATAGTTTCCCTAAAGATATTAATAATAATAGTCTTTGTTATGTACACAGAAGAAATACAATAAGAAAAACTGTAAGCAGAAAATTAATTATATAGATATATATATGATATATTACTAGTATTATTTATGTTTATTCATTCCATCATGCACCATCCACCACCTTCTACCTTTTCTCCTCTACCCAAGGTTGTCTGGAAGAGATCGCTTAAGCGATAAGACCGTATTTTCTACATACTATGGGAATATACATAGTATATTCTGTTTTATTTTGGATGTTTAAAGGTTCAATAACAACTTATAAATAAATAAAACATAAAATTATTATATCAATCTTTACTTTATTTATTATACTTCCACAATGATTTTTTATATATTTTAATGGGAAAATATAAATGTTACTTTATATGCTTAAAATATATCAATTCAATAAAATGAACAATTCCCCTAAGCATATTTTTGTACCAATATTTATTTTATTTATTAATGATACAATGTAAATGTTACTTAATATGAGGTGAAACCTCTAAATAGGAAAAATCCTGTACTATACACTTTTATATATCTTCAACCACGCGATTGCGTATGAATTTATCAATTGTTTGCTAAATGGAAAACACATTTTTTGTTGTCTATATATGTACTAAAACATATTAAGTACAATATTTTTTTTACGACATACAAATACCAATATATAAACGGATACCTATCAACTCGACTGTTGGTAGGTATCAAATATTTTTTTCTAGTTTAGTAGTCGCATTGTTCTTTGTACACAAAAAAACAATTTACACAAAACATATTTTCTTTAGTGAAACATGTATTTGTAAAACATGTTGCCTATCATATAGTATGGGACGGCTTTCGCATGAAATTAGAAATGAAAATTTCTAAAATAAAGGTAACCTAAGTTATTCTTTATAACATTACGTATACGCGAGTAAAAGTTACGTCAAAATGGCATCCAGCGGATCAGTCGTTGCAAAGATAAACAAGAACAAACATACAGACGGACATAAAAACACTTTTTTTATTATTTTTAATGCATTTATAAAAAGTTGTAAATTTTAAATTACAAACAGATACATCAATTTTATTTATTTGTCATAGATGGCTACAGAATAAAACAAATACATTTTAATATTTTCAACAATACATTTTAAAATTCATTTTCTTAATTATAATAAAAAAGATAGTGCACGTATTTATTCTGCAACTAACTACTAGCCCCGGCATCGCCCGGGTGTACGTGTATTATACATATAAAGTTTCCTCTTGAATGACTCTATCGATTAAAAAAACCGCTTCAAAATCCGTTGCGTAATTTTAAAGATTTAAGCCTACATAGGGACGTACAGACAGCGACAGCGACTTTGTTTTATACTCATTACAAAAATGATTCTGCATCCCCTTTCATCGCCAGGATATCGTCAACATTAGATTTTGTAAAATATAATTTTAGTAAGAGAGAGAGAGTGGATGAATAGCTCTTATTTTTCACGCAAAAACTACTGGACGGATTTTGATGAAATAATGTATTTTCGGCTATAAATTCATTGCTGGTTACAGCTAATTTAATATAATTAAAACTATACCTTCACATTTCTTCTCATTTATATAAGATGACGGCAAATAAAAATTCAAACATATTGAACTTAAGTTGCCTTATAAAATTTTGATTTCTTTTTTTAACTTTTGCAACAGTCTTTGATCGAATAAAACAGAGTACAAACGGGACTTAGGTAATAAAAGAACGAGTTTCCTTATAAATATTTCCTTAAAACATTAATATGCTTGTATAGAGAGAACGTTTTTATATTTTAATTCTATATAGATACGAGAAAGAAGTTTGGAAATCTGAATGTTAATTTTGAACTTTCTAACTACTATCACGCAGTTTGTGTGAAAATTGTAAAAAATATTTGCATAAATATGCTAAACAAAAGATAATAAAGATATGATAGATAAAATAATAATAGGTTTAGGACGTTGTTGAGGCTCCCTCGGTTAATGTAGTGCATCAGAGTTGTTTGCAGCGACGCGTAATGCGTAAAAGTACTGCATCCTCCTAATAACTATTGCAAATATGTCAGATTGTACGCTCCAGAGACACTGGATATCGTTGCAATGTGCGGACCCAGTGCTTCTGGATGTGGATAAAGATATATCTCTGTCCAATCTATGTCTACATCTAGAAGCACTGGGTCATATATGAACTGAGAAAATATCTCTATATATTTTAATTTACAAACAAAGTTTATAAGTACTAACACAATATGGATATAATAAGAAATAAATAAATAAAAGGCGGCTTTATCGCTAAAAGCAAGCTTTGAAATACTTTTTTTATATATATGTACGTAAAGGTACAAAACGAACTTATGCATCCTGTGGTTTACAGAACCGGATAGTACAATAACGAGTTGATTAAAGTTGTCCGCAGCACGTACGTACAGACAGCAGCACAATCCATATCACATTAAATTGACAAACTATACAACTATATTAACTATACAATACAAGCACTATTATAATATATTCCAATATAAGTGCGTTATGATAAAACATGCAAATATAGGGGTCTAGGGTCCGAATACGATTTTGTCCCATTCAGTGTCTAGACCGTTAGTCCGTGGGGTCCTAGCACTATAAGGCTTTTTAAAAAAATAGCGAAAAGGTTAGTCGACAGATGACCGAAGAGCTAGCAGCTACCTTATTTAATTACTCCGACGGTGGTAGGCTCGGTCTGTGCTGTCTTAGATTCCAATCTATCAAGCGAAATCTATTACTTTATAATGCCTAATGCGCACCTCATGCTCTCAGGCTAGCTGAAACTAAGTGTTTACGGGAGAAAGGGTATTGTTAGTAATATGTACAAATAATCCACTATCCTCTGCATACACTGATATACAATATCTAATAATAACATGGCAGGACAATCCACATAGCGACATCTAGTCCCAATCTAAATAGAGCCTGTGCTGTAGGTACTAGACAACTGATGAACTTAAATAGATTTTGGTATATATATACATAACATACATAGAAAATACTCAGACAAACAATAGTGTTAATGAATGCACCGTTCAAGTAATTAAACTCAGAGGAAAGCTGTGTGTTAAATCGCTAGAATGCTTTGTGCCTTATTCGTTGTTGACTGTACCAAACTCTAGTTTAATTTTCAAGTTCTCAACTAGTATAACACGATGCATCACTTGTTAGACTGGATTTCATGATCGTGGTCCTCGCAAAAAGGGCACAAGTTTAATAAGTTAACGCTTGAACTGCTCCTCGCAACTTAAATATTGAAGTTAAGCTTCTTGTGTGAGGAAAGAGATGAAAGTGAAAAAGAATATTAATAAGGCTGACATAAATCAAAACCTCTACTGACAAACTAATTTAATAAATATTCGATTGAAGACTAAAATTACTGATCTTACTTACTAATATTACAAACGCGACATATTACAAAGTTTGTGATATGGGTGAATTGATGGATGGCTATTTGTTACTCTTTCACGCAAAAACTGCTGAATGGATTTTAATGAAACTTTACAGTAAGCTTATATGTACATCAAAATAATACATAAGTAATAATTTAAAAAACTATTATTTATAATGATAAATATCAAGTAAGTGGGATGCAGACAAGTTGGGCGTTGACAACTAACTGATCAGTTAGTTAAACATAAAAATGCTACAATAACAAAATTAAATAAAAACTAGAATTTACACAAAATAATCATACATAGAAACCGAGGTAGATGAAGTACGAACGTATATATTTTTATTTACCAATACAATAACTGCTATTTCTAAGTTGTACTATTGGATTTGTTAATTTTAGATTGACTACTGATCGGCTTCCAAAGTCACAATAATTAAAAAACAAATGTTGATGCAGAAGTACAACAACAAGCGATATAATGACCATCAATTGTTCCCACGACAATCAACGATGCAATATTATAATGAATGCGCTGTAGCTCGCCCATCATTAGGAGTAGGTACCTATTCATCACGTTAGTTACATATGTATTGTCCACAATTTTACATTACTAACTCCCTATGAACTATAAGAAGCAGACCGACAGACAGACAAACTTTTATATTTATATTTATATCAGTACAGGAATTTATTTTTATGTAACTGTATTTTTACAATAATTGGACTGAGGATTTAGAAATTTCGCACAATTACAGCTTATACAGAGAAGGAGTGGAGAATACTAATATTTTTTTTTAAATCATGTAAAATACATGACTCAATACAAAAACATACACACATATACACTACTATACATTATTATACACTTGCGCATAGAAATAGCCCCCCGGATCGATCCCCCGTCCAATTCAAACGGGGATCTATATTACGACGGCCTGAGCCGAGGTTCGAACCCCTAGTGGTGCCCTCAGACTAAAGTCGTATCCGTCAGGCAGGAGTTGACCTTCATCCGCTCCAAAAGGCCTTCCGCGGGTTTGGAGTGCCATCTGCAATTTTATTCTTTAATCTTGTAATTTTAAAATAATTGTCGTCGTTAATAATAATTTCGACTATTGGTCGACCACTAGTAGTAGGTAATTACATGCTTAGTTCATACTAACTGAGAGTAGTACCTCATCTACTACTCAATGTCTAGGCGTGAAATATATAAAAAAAACAAATTCGAATTTAGAACACCCTTGTTTTTGAAAATAATTTGAATATATTTTATTTTTTTAACAAGTAGTAGTTTTACGGCCCTAGAAATTCCCTTTCAGCCAAATTTATTTTTATATCAGTGAACATTTCGAATTTTTAAAAAAAAAATACGTTCGAATTTCATTGTTTTTCTAATTTTCTTTTAGTGAGCACGCTGATCGCTATGATTACGAAGTGGCAACTCGTTCTACCAGTCTGCTGTACGATCCTGTTCTTGTTTTGGATAACCGGGTCGACAGGTATGTTATTGTTTACTAGCTATATCCCACGACGCTACCCGCATGAATTCGTATAAAAAGATATCTATATTTTTGTGTAGAGTATGATTTATCCATGTACCAAACTATCTATATGTGTTGGTCAAGAGTATGAGCCATGTACCAAACTTTATCCAGATCTGTCCTATCTAAAATTATAACTGAGTAAAGTAGCCAGCATCTCAGAAATTTTACAATAATATTACAATGGACGGAGGCAAAATCTAAGTAACAGCACAGATAAGATAATATTACATATAATATTATATACAGTCAAATGAAGTTTCATCCAAGTTTCCATCGGGTGGGTCGTCATCTTCTTTGCCATTTTAATTACATATACTGCCTCTATATAGTCGATCGGTATAACACACTTTACGTCCGACGGTCGGAGGTTCGATTCCTCGTACGGTGCAAACATTTGTATTCATGAGTATCATTGTTTTGTCTGGGTGTTTGTATGTATATTATAGATATATTTTTAAAAAATGTAAGTATTTATTTCAGTTGTCTCATTACCCATAACACAAGCTCTACTTAGCTTGGGATTAGATGGCGCTGTATAAATTGTCCAGAGATATTATTAATATATATAAAATAAGTGGGTAGACATTTATGTATAACTACTTTTGTAATATCAATTTCTTTAACGTAGAAATTACAAAGTATTCAGAGTCCATTAAAATTAGTTTATAGTCGCAGTTTTGTTCCATAACGTTCCTTAAATCATTTTTGATGTCCTTTAATTTAATAAAAGTACTAACTCCGCCCAATTAGCAGTCATTAAGTAATGAGGAAAGTCGAAAGACAAATTCCACATTTGAGAAAAACAAGGTTAATGAATTCCAATAATGAATAACGAAATTACATGGTAATACTCGGTGTACATTTTTTATAGTCAGTTCGAATATAGGACTAATGATAGTGTCTTTAAAAACCATAATAAAAATATGGATAATTTTAAAAGAGTTACTGATTACACTAATGAAAAAATAACAAACTGATTTTACCTAAATGCCGTTTAACGAAAGTTAGTAATTCGTTTTATGGTAATTGCGTAAGGTTTTACAACAAAATACCAGTCTTTTCTAAATCTGCCCAAAAAGATTTTAATGTCATATAAAATACTTGCTTTTTAAAGAAGCATACTATAACATTAATCCAGTCAAAATAAACCAAAAAAAATGTCAACTTAGCCAAAATTCGCATAGAGCTAAAAATTGGTATAGACGTTAAATAAACCATTACAAATGAAATGTCAAAAGTCCCCTTCGATCCTACTTCTGCAAAAATTTTTATCCAAGGTCAAAGGTCAAAAATTCAGGTTTTTCCCATTTTTCTCTGAAACCGTTAATATTATCGTCAAAATAGGTTAAACAAAAATTGTAGATCATATAATTCTCTACAAAAACTGTTCTACTACTTCTGGTCTTCTCATGACGTGGCTGTACCAACGTAATAATTTATCATCAATTATTTTGTTAAAAAGTAAATAAATTTATTCGTTTTTCAGGAATATACATAACAAACCTGAACGAAGCTTGCTACAACTGCCTCTGTTATGTCTCCACCAAATGTGACTTGAACCACGAGTGCACAGGCGGCTACTGTGGACCCTTTAACATCTCCAGGATATACTGGGTGGACGCTGGGATGGTGGTGTTCCCAGCAGACGAACCTGAACGGAACAACGGTAATTACAATCATTGCTAATACTACCCGTCATACTCGTGAACGAGTGCTACTTGTAGGGACTGGTCTGCTCTTATCACTACGACTGATTTAATCTTATTGTGTATTTATATTTGACCCTAATAAATGAGTGCTGGTTGGTAATTTGTATTCACACGTTTCGACTTGTAAAATGTGAACATACAAGGATTATTTAAAAGAGCAACACACAAGTTTCTTGCTCGTTCTTCTTGTGATGAGACAGCTTTCCGAATGAGCGGTAGATTAAAAAATATATATTAAGACTATTCAAAAATGGCTTAAATTAAGTTTATTTGAATAAATGGTTTTCTATTCCATTCTATTATAAATGCGAAAGTACGTCCGTCCGACACGATAAAACTACTCAACAGATTTTAATAAGTAAATATCATATATAACTTCTTATACAGGTTATACCAAAGGTCAAACGATGCATCAAAGGAGATAGAACACGTCATCATAGCTGGTGACCACGTAACCACATCAGAATTTGGTACACGGATAGTGTAGACTCTGAGAAAGGACATGGGCTACTTTTTAATGCGAAAAAAGCGCTCTAAGCGGTTGAAAGGGGAAATAAAGGGTTGTATGGAAGTATCGTCATTTTTAAAGCCAGAAGCTTGAAACTTATTATTTATATTTTTGGCTGTTGATTAAATATAAATAAACAAAGGGGATAAATTAAGAAGGGAATGAAAGTTCGCTTTTACTTTTTTATTGATTAACATCCATAAACATATAAAAAATATAAGTGACTCGTGCCAATATGAAAATCGTAACGTATTTACTTCCAACATACACATTTTATTTTCGCTGAACGGAAACGAATTGTGTAGAGAGTACTCAAAAAAATAGAACTAAGGAAGTCTTTTCTTTTTATTTTTTTCCTGTTTTTACTTCATATTGAATTAGTTTTGGCAAGAAATATTATGCGTATATATGTGCTAATACGTTGCTTAAAATGTTGCTTAATTTCTCTTATGTATAATTTCAAATCGGATGTACTTATGTCTGACTCTATATTAGTTTATATATTTATTTGGCTGTAGGAAATGTTAAGTAATAGTAAATGTATTCGAACTAAAATTTGTAGATATGTTGTCTATGGCAAGACAATTTTAATGGATACGGTTACTGATTTGACTTGATTCTTTACTTTTGGATTCTTACCCAATCATGTAACAACGCCTTTAATAACATAAAATGCCAAATGTATAGAAACCATCTAAGGACGGCTTGCTGAAGCCTTATTTCACATGTACTTTGTAAATGTACGTTCATACTGAAAGCCCACCTGAAAATCAGCGCTCGAAAGCCATGTTTACACCATTATGCAGAGTTGTGGTCCACACTGACTTTGTGGTGTAATGGGTATAAATGGTGTTTGATTTTTTAAGTCATTTTCATATTGTGTATGTTGCGTTTCAATACATTCTGTTGATCTGTTACATTCAATATATTCTATTCTGCCTGTTACCAAGGTAGAATTCGTAAACAGTTCCCACTGCATTGTTTTGAGAATTTATTTATACCTTTCTGGTTTCTGGATGAATGGCGGTCTTCCACCGTGCATTTTTCAAGTAATTTTCTGTCACGCAGAACCACATCACCTTACTGCAATGGTATTTCCTAACCCATACATACATACGTGTTTATATAATTCCTAGTTACTTGCACCGGAACGCTAACGTACTCTGCTAACGTACAGGCAGAAGCAACTGGGGATTTTGTTTATGTGAAAGATTTAATATGTATAAATAGGTTTAGGAATTAGGTGAGAAAATTATTAATTCATTTTGTATACCTATTTCAGCTTGGAAAGACTGCGCCAGGGATTATAATTGCGCAAAATCCATCATCGAGGGATACCTAACGAAGTTTGGCAGGGTGAGAAATAAATTATAGCATTATTCTGTTAAAAAGAATGGTGGTAGAGAACGGTTTGATGATAATGATCAGCAACAAACTAAGATGTAATTGATTTATATATTTCTTAGTTGAGCCTTATAAACTGTCAAAGTATAGTACAGTCCACTCTACTAACACTGTTATATATTACAGGATTGTAACGGTGATGGTATAACCAACTGCTTCGACTACATGATGGTCAACGGTAACGGTGGTTACGGCTGCACCGCCAACCTGAACCGCTCCGTCAACGGGAGGAGATGGCTTCAGCGCTACAACGAATGTAGATTGTAGCACACTCTTGATATATTGTAGCCAAGTCTGAAACCGTCCTATGAAATGTATCAGCAATATGATTCCTATGAAAGTCAATCAAAAACGGAAATCAGAAACCATTTATGACTTGAAATTATTAATATAATAGTTGATAAAAGTATCACTAAAAGTTTCTATAATTGTAAACATAATAATTTTCGGAAACCCATGAACAATAATGTAATTTTAGCTAAGAACTATCTCCACCAAGTCAGCATTCAAAGTAAAAGAAGACATCAAAATATCTATACGTTTAGGAGCACAAATGCCACAGACAGACACACAGTTTCACAACATGTCAAACATATAAGAACTCTATTTACGCATCGGGTATTAAAAAAGGCTGCTTTATAATCTATGCTTTTTCTGAATTAATTAGTTGAATATTTCACATCTAAGATTAGATCAGATTCCTCAGAATACAGAGGTCTTAAGATTCTAATCAACAGATATATCTGTACTCTATACATCTGATTAAGTATTTGAATTGAAGTAACTCCTAGTTTGTAAGCATTATAAAATAATATTCTTGCCAGTAAGATATGTAATGTCGTAATTTATTCCAAATATAACATTTTCTATAAGCATCCAAAATCGGTACTGTGACTATTTGAACACTCTTATGTAGTTTTAATTATAGCTGTATCATTAACATCTTTACCCTAAGTTTTTAGCATTAAAAAATATACTCGTGATATCATTCGCTCCTTTTAGGAATGTCAAAGGAAATATTTGAAATTAGAATACAAAATATTTAAATATATATTGTTTTTTATTTTCAGTATTTTAGAATTTTATAAAGTTACTAGCTGTACTCGCGACCTCGTCCGCGTGGATGGAATTTAACTTTATTTTTCTAAAATAAAAATAGCCTAAGTTACTTCTTATTACATTAGCTACCTGCCAATAAAAGTCCTGTCAAAATCGGTCCAGCCATTTCAAATATTTACCGGAACAAACAGCCAGACTGACAAAAATTGTAATAAATGTTATTTTGTTGTATGTACCGTATTTATATTCATATACATGTAGTAAAAAACGGTTATTTCAATATTACAAACAGGCACTCCAATTTTATTTATATGTATAGATATATTTGTAGAATTTTAGAAACGTGGGGCGTGGCACTAACTCGGTTGGGAAACGCTGGTTTAAATGGTTGTTTCTGCAAACAGTTAGATATATAGCAACAGATAGATTAGATGAGAAATGTGTGGCAACTGAATATTCAGGAGGACGTGCTGAAAACTTAATGAGGCGAAAGGCTACGCTGTCGGGCACGAGACGCTAACTGAAATTCAGTGTTGAAAGTGTCAAGTTAAAATAATTGAATTAGTAGTTTAAAATGTTGGATCAGTAAGAGCAAGTGCTACATAAATAATACTCGACTCGCCTCGTTATTTCTGCCGACTTCACAAAGAAGCTTCAGAATTAAGATGTAACTTCTATAAGGTGGTTCTGTTTGCAAATTTACATTTTTTATGTAATTAGAATTGACAACAACATAGATGTTATGTTAAGAAAGGGAGTACATAACGAGATGACTGCGGACAGGGATGAATGGAAGAGAACATATTACGCGGACCACAAATAAATGGCATAAGGAAGAAGCAGATGATGATGATAGAATGAAAACAAGCTTAAGGCCTACCTGATAGTAGTAGCTGTGTCCGTAACATGATACGGACATCACGTTATCATGACGCTTGTGATAACAATAATCTGTTGCCATTTTTGAGGACTAAGATGTCATGGCTCTTATCCAGATTCTGCTGCCTCATCTTGACGGACTTGGTGGTCTAGCGGTATAGGACACCGCTTTACTGACAATGATCGCAGATTTGATTGTATATTATGATATCGTTTACAAAAAATCCATGTATTTATATCAGTTATCTAGTACCCAGAACACCCAAACTAAGCAGAGCTTCTGCTTAGTATGAGACCAGATGGCGTTGGCATATCACGTCACATCATATTATCTCTTGTGAGTAAACAGGTGAGAGAGAAGTATCCACAAAAACTACTTTTCAAAGTCTACCTTATAACATACGGTCAACAAGTAATACATCTATACACATATCTCTTTAGCACACATCTATAGTAGAGGTCATTTCGTGTTACCTCCCTGGGTAACATTTGTTTTTGGTTGTTCCGTGTATGCTTCCACAGGTTTAGAAACTTCACGGGCACATGTGCTCTCAATGTACGATATACAGGTTGTAACATAACGTACACAATATCTTAATTGAAATTGAACCAAAGTAAACAAAATTTAATAACAATTGATTAAGAAATATAATTAAATATAAGCGACAAACGAGCTTGGGCCTCGTGTGATGGTAAGTGAGTACAGTCACCCATAAGCAACTGCAACACCAAATACCTTGCCGGCCTTTTAAGAAATTTCACGGAAACGGAAAACGCACGGTGGAAGACCGCGATTCATCCAGTTGATCAGGATGGTATGTAATAATAATAATATCAGGACAATTCATACCTACTGCTATCTAGACCCAAGTTAAGCTAGTTAAAGCTTGTGTTATAGGTACTAGATAAGTGATACAAATACATTGATTTTTCTTTCGTAAATACATACATATTATACGTAGAAACCACCCAGACCGACACAAACAATCATACTCATAAATACAAATGTTTGTGCCATGAGAGGAATCGAACCCATGACCATCGGAAGTAAGGCGGTGTGTTAAACCGCTAGACCACCGAGGTCGTCAACTATACTTTAAATAAATAAATAACCCTAGACAATTAACACAGCGCCATCTAGTCCTACGGTAAGCAGAACTTGTGTTATGGGTACTAGACAACTGATATAAATACTTAGATATTTTTTATTACTTACTTTATAAATCCGCAAAACATTAAAACAAACATCATGTATCTATATACTACCTATGTAGAACATAATTTTCATATAGGGCTTTCCGGTTTCCGAAACGTTGCAAAACATAAATGACCTGTCACATAAATTAACAGTCACGACAGACAGACACCGAACTGGGCAGACAAATGCGAATTTTTTTTACCAAAGTCAGACCTACGGACCGTCCCGACTTAGTCGCCGTTTAAAAACGTCCGGTTTCTTTTTATTATTTATATGTGGGAAACGCATGTAATTTTGTTTTATATTTATACTAGACTAGCTACTCGCCCCGGCTTCGCACGGATGTACGCGTATTATATATATAAACCTTCCACTTGAATTACTCTATCTATTAAAAAAACCGCTTCAAAATCCGTTGCGTAGTTTTAAAGATTTAAGCATACATAGGGACAGACAGCGGACTTTGATTATCCGCGCTACTTCATCTGCGTTTAATTTCCGCATCTTTTGCAATATTTTTCATTGCATCTCCGCTCTTATTGGTCGTAGCTTAATGTTATATAGCTTAAAGTCTTCCTTGACAAATGGACTATCCAACACAAAATGAATGTTTCAATTCGAACCATTAGCTTCTGAAATTAATGCGTTCAAACATACAAACAAACAAACACTTCAGCTTTATAATATTAGTATAGATTTTATTTTTTCTGTGGTCCTATCCGATTATCGTAGGCCTTAACACCGATGGTCGCAGAATCAATTCTCGTCTGTTACAAACATTTGACAACCTCGGTGATTTAAACAGCTAGTTGCGGGTTCGATTCCTCGCACGGTACAAACATATATTCATGAGTATGTTTGAGTGTTTTCTATGTATATTATTTATGAAACTACAAAATAAATAGTATTCATATCAGTTATCTAGTAAAATAAAACAAGCTCTGTTTACCGTGGGATTAGATTATCTGGGGTTATTTATTTCATTTTTACTTGTCGTGGTTGAGGGAGACGCATCTTCTTGAATATAAACTCAGTCTTATTCAGTACCTGTCACATTTTAAACGTGATCCAGTACATCACAGCTGTTAGTATATCACGTTCTGGATAATAATGTTAATTTCACAGTCCCATAATCATGTGATGTACCCACCGTGAAATAAAATGAATGCACAGTACAGCTATGACGATATATTTATGACATTCTCCGTCTATGACGGATAGCTTGGTTACTTCTTAACTTATGAATTCTGATAGTTTATTCGGATAAGAATGAACTTTTATATAAATCACTTTATACCCGCCCCGGCTACTGGTGTACATATATTATATACCTTTCTCTTGAATCACTATATCTGTTGCTGAAAATTGTATTAAAATACGTTGATTAGTTTAAAAGATCTATGAACAGACAGCGGAAGACACTTCATTGTATTCTAAATATAATGTAAATTACTACAAAAGAGAGAAAGAGATAAAGTGGCAATTCAAAAATGTTTACATCTGGTTTGAATATAAAATATTTATATTTTCGTTATTCTCAATTCAAAATTATTTAGTTTATTTGAATAAATATTATTTCTATTTTGATTCTGTTTCTGTAATTCTGTTTTTGTAAACTAGAAAGACGCAAAGCGGTTGTGTAAGTAGTATATACATGCATGTGAACCTCACATTTATTCTCAATTCAAAATCATTTTGTTTATTTGAATAAATATTATTTCTATTTAGATTATTCTGTTATCGTGCACTAGTAATAAGAAAACGCGGTTCGCTAAGTAGTATATAAATGCATGTAAACCTCACATTTATTCTCAATTCAAAATTATGAATCATTTAGTTTATTTGAATAAATATTATTTCTATTTATATTATTCTGTTTTCGTAAACTAGTAAGACGCAAAAGCGGTCGTGTAGGTAGTATATAAATGCATGTAAACCTCACATTTATTCCCAGTACGATGGTTGTTACACAGAGAATGTTGTGGCAATCTGCTACCCACAAATTACCCAGAAACTATAAAAGTACGTTACGACCGGCCGCAGCCGTATAAAACATCAGCCTACGTAGGCCATTTAGTCTATGATACCCTATATATTAGAGGGTTGTTTTGAGTTGTAATTATAAAGAGAAGATCTATTGTTATCAGCCCCAGCTCTATGGGGGGAGCAACATAAGGCTCATGCCCCGAACAGCAAGTTCTGGGGGCAAATTTGAACTTGGCTGCTGAATATAGAACTCTTCATAATGAATCTTTAAGAACTAGACCACTGAAACGTCAAGTAAATCATTTTTCGCAGTTCGCATACACTTTTTTTAATATTACGATAGCTCTCAGGGTCGGTGCCAACATAGATAGATAGATAGATAATTCTTCAACATAGATAGATAATACTTCATTCAACAATTACAGACACATAACATAACAGCATTGCTATTGCTAGCCTGGTCCACTTTATTAACAATCTAACTTCAATATCTTCCAGATGGTTTGAGATCGCTTTTAGCGATAAGACTGCCTTTTATTTTTTTTTAATAGCACAGGGGACAAAACAGTTGCAGCTCACCTGATGGTAAGTATTTACCTCCGCCCATGAGCACCCGCAACACCAGGGAAATTGCAAGTGCGTTGTCGGCCTTTTAATATTTTCCAAATTACACTTTCTCTCGTTGAATTTTTTTATTTTGTGGTATTAAGAGTTTTATTATTATCTCTATGGATAGGGATAATATATTAATAATATATTTAATGATTCTAATATAAAAAATGTATGTTCTGGATAGAAGGGCAAAAGTTTCTCGTTTGCTATTTGCTATTGTATCGATTTTAATAAAATATGACTATTTTGCTTATATAGAAAGAAACTCGATCTAAAAATATAAATATAATTTCCATAAAAACCAATACCAATATCAA